ACTTTTTTGTAACAAAACTCAACAAACTCAAACTTGAAACGTGGGTCCAGAATTGTTGCAATTGCTAACACAACGCTATAAGAATCCCAATTTTGTCAAACTTTACTTTCATTTGACTTGCCATAGTACTAAGAACTTCATTCTCATTTTGCATCTCTTCGTATAAACGTACTTGAACTCTCCACACATTTATGAGGTACAAGTTTGCTGTGGGGTATTGAAAACCCGAAAAAAGAGTAGTGATGTCACAAAATGGTTGCAAGAACTTGCAAATCCTCACCCCCCCCCCCCCCCCCCCCCAAAAAAAAAAATCCCATCCCATTCTTCATCTAAAGGACAACTTTTATAATTGGGATCTATCAGTAACAAATGAACAAACACACGACGGTATATTAACGTAGTTTCAAGCATTAAGTAATGGAATTCCATCTTGTGGGAACATCCATTCATAATCCTTTTGAGCGATTGAGTGTGCTGCTGCTACCGTGCTGCGTGAGAGAAGAGAGTTGAGTGATAAGTGTGTACTGTGAGTCTGAGAGAGAAGAGAGTTGAGTTCGTCGACGACAATCAGCTCTGAGGGAGTCGTGAGCGACTGACCGTGCTGTTGTTGCTGTCCTGCATAAGAGAAAAGACTTGAGTGATGAGTGTGTACTGTGAGTCTGAGAGAGTGAGAGTTACGTTTTCACTTTTCAGTTTCACTTTAGTCTTTAGGAGTTTAGGGTTTTTTTTTGTTTTGTTATTTTATTTGAATTTTGTTTTTTTTTTTTTTTTTTAAATTCAATTGCAGGTACTCGCGGGTATTACCCAAGCCACCTGTAAATTTCATGGGCCGACTGGGCATGGGTCGATTTGAAACGGGTCATGTGGAGGGAAACCCGTACTCGCCCGTTGGGTGCAGGTACCCGTTTACCCGCGGATATGGGTAGTGTATTGCTAGGTCTAAATTCAGAAGTCAAAATTTATTAATATTTTTAATTTAAGGTTGGAAACCTAAAGTCAAAATTTATTAATATTGTTAATTTAAGGTTGGAAACTTGAAATTTATGAAACAATGGTGAAAACTCACAGATTCGTCAAACCTTCTATGGGTAAAGTCGTTTAGTCTCTTTACTATTGAAATTTAAACGTAAACTTTCATATTCAACAGAATAATGAATTTAAATGTTAATTTATTTTCTTCTGATGTTTGCTGATAATAAATAATCTTAACTATCGTTGATTACTAAGTTCTATATTCAAAAATCTCTTATTCCAAATGATGTGTTATTTTATATAGTATTTACGTGTAAATCAAGTGATAATTTGTAAATGAAATTTAAAGTGTACACACCACATTTGGATAAGATATCAATTAGTCGAAGTTTTTCCTTTTTTTTTTTTTTTTTTTTCCTTTGAAGAATAACATTACTAATTCTAAAAATAGGGTTAGTTGAAGTAAATATTATCAAGTTTTGTATTTTACAAAAACGCGAACGTGGGCAAGAAAACGTAAAGGCTAATTGGTCGCCTATGCAAAAGTAGAGAGCTAGAGATACATAGGCCTGGGACATCTTTTGGGTCTGAATGTTATGTGGGTTTCAGACTTTCAAATGAACTAAAAAAAAAAAAAAAAAAACCAAATGCAAAGAAGAACTTTTGGACCCATTTTTGGTTCACAATTTCCCAAGCATTTCATGTAATTATAATTTAAGTTTGTATTGTTATGCTGGTATACCTCGCATTTTTAGGGTGTACCTTATTACCTTTGCCCTTCGTTTTTGTTTTTTTAGAGGGGTTTTTAATTTTGAGCCTCTGCAGTTATTTTCTCTGCTAAAATTTCATCATTGCTTTTACTTGTGCTACCAAAAAACCTGCAAATTTCTGCCACGTTTGCTTATGTTTCAAGCAATTACTTTAACAGCCACTGACTTTTTTTTGCGGGGTTTTTTATTTGGGTTGGGATTTTTTACGAAGTTTCACTTTTCCAAAATAGGTAAAAATTCTGTGTGAAAATTTAAAGAGGGTAGTGATGAAATCAGATGAACTTTCAATGATCGAGATGAGTTGGGGGTCCACATTTTTTTAGATCTCATGCTGGTTGAGTTATGATTTTTACCTAATCGCTTAACCAGTTCTGAACTGCCAGCCTGTCTCATCACAGTCACGATTCCAAAGCACACCCGCCAAAGACCGGGGGCACTGTCGCCAGGCGCCCTTGTGTATATGTGTGGTTGTAAATTTTTCTATTTCAAAGATTGATTTTTCTATTAAAAATAGGAGGGACATGGAGGTCGGAGAAAAAAAGATATACAGATAAAACATTTATATGGTGATAGTATGTATAGAAATAAACTCTACATAATTATAAAAAATTCTAATCTCAATTTGGGATAATTATAAATAAGAATAAACTATACATTATAATAAGTTATAATTTTTCTAATTCTCTTAAAGAAAATTGTCTCCACATAGTAATAATTATTTGTATATTACAAAAAAAATATACTACGTTACATTAAAAGTTTAAAATGAAATAAAATATTTATCTAAAGTTGTTTAGGACAATGATTTATGCTTTAGAGTTGTTACAACACTTTTTCACTTGCGGGTATATAATAATTCGCTAGCATAGACATATTTTTGTTAAAACCAAAATATTTTTAGCTTTTCAAGTATGTTTAGAGCTTCATGGTACGAAACTTTTTGTATTTCTATGCTATCATCCTCATGATTATTTCAGTTTTCTTTTTGTCTAATTATAACAATGATTTCTTATTCAGTTAAAGCATATACTACTTGTTACTCATTTGGATAATTGAGGAAGACATTAAAATGCATTTTATTAGTGTGTAGTGAAGTTGTCGAATCTGATCACTTAATCATACAATGAGTCTTTTATTCTCCACATCTACTTCATTTGTAATTTGTAATTCATCGACACCGGGGTTCCTAATTTTGTAGTACTTAAAACAATTGAAAATTGTTTGTGACTCACATCAATTGACCATACAGCAACTGCATTTATAATTTTATTAAGGATATTTTTCTTTTCTGGTTCCAATACATGATCTTTTATCCGTTTCAAAAATAGGCAATTAAAACGTTGACTATAATAACCTTTGAAATTTCCAATGATGCCTTCATCACACAACTAGATTTTGGAAGTGCTAGCTGGTGGTAGGAACAGAACAATTGTGTGATACTAATACCAATACCAATGCTACTAAAACAATTAATTGAAATCCTAATACACACTATTAAAACATTAATTATAAAATAAGAAATCAAAATATTAATTTTTGTAACTATACATCTATTAAGTTATAATCTCTTTATAGTCACTACAAGAAATATATTATATTGTGACAATTAATTTTGTCAAATGTTATTTTGTCATAAATAATACAGGTATTATGACAAAATAAAGAAACATCACATTAACTATGACAAAGAGAATATACAATGACTAAAAAATATATTGTCAAAATATTTTATCACAATAAAGAAACCCATAAGAAATATAGTGAAGAAAAACATTTTTATCATAATATTTCATCACAAATTTTTGGCGCCAAATTTTGGCGTCTAGGTAAATTGTTTATTGTGATAAACATGTTTTATCATAATACATTTTTGTCACTAAATTTAGTTATACATGCTATACCTACAAATTATTTTGTCACAAAAGAATTTATTTATTATTACAAAAAAAATTGTCATAATATATGCTAAAATATAGGTATTAATGACAAAATATTTTAATCAAATTAAATGTGATATTTTGTGACAAAAATTTGCTAAAAAAACATAATTAATATTGGTACAACTATTTTTCATTCCTCTTAAGTTTTTAGTAAAACTATATTCATTAAAAAAAAAAAAAAACTCATTCATAATTTTAGCATATATGTCACTAAAAAAAAAAAAAAAACTCATTAACATTTAGGATCAAGTACGAGGTCAAGGGCTAGAAAATTTGGTTTAGGATTGGGGGGTGACAGGGGCAGGTCGAGTTTTGCTATATCTAACTAGATCAAAGAAATTTGCTAAAATAAATCACCAACAAATTAGCGATGAAAAAAAAAATATGTTTGTAAAATCGTAGCAACGCATTTCAATTCGTTGCAAATATTTGTTCCCAAATTTCAGTTCCTAATCAGTTGTTAAATTATTACTTTTATTTTTATTTTTTACTTTTTATTTTTAAAAACTTGAGAAGGCCAAAAAATTGTAAAAAATACAAAATCATTAATAATTTTATAAATGTAAATATTACGTACCATTTTTGGCTTTAATAATACAAGAATACAAATCAAATTCAAACTGAATAAAATTCATAAACTGCTAATGCATACTCTACTTACAACTTGTATTAGCAGCAAACAAAGGCCGATCCATAGAGACTAGTTAAGCATATTACCTAACTTAAGATCATAGCAAATGAATGAAAAATGGGTGGGGTGGGGTTAGAGCCGGCGGTGGGTGTACCATGCCTAAAAATTCAAGGCCGATCATGTCATGGGTCGTGCCGTGCCCAGGCCTGCAAAAATTCGTGCCCTATTGTGTTGTGCTAACCCACCAAATTTGAAGGCTCCCAACACAACTCGCTATATATCGTGTCGTGCCTTGGACCGTGTCGTGGGTCTATCAATCCACGTTCTTTGTAAAAATATTTAATTTTAATATTTATAAATTATGATAATTTCGATTTATTATTATAAAAATATTTTCTATATTATATTTAGTGACATTTTGTATTTATATTAATTAAAAAATATATAATCACTATGAAATATAATAAAATAACGAGACATTGAAATATAATTGAATTTCAACACTTTTTATTATTTATAATTATAAATTACAAATACAAATTTATAAATTAGGATTAGTAATTATTATACATTTTCATTTTAATTAATTTTTAAATTCTTAAAATCTTAAAATCTTTGAATATATCTGCAAAGGCTTTTAAGTTCGAATGGGCTTGTGTATTTGCATTACCCAAAATCCCTAAGTCACTCGTTCTATTCTTCACATTCCAAATCACGGCACCTTGTCTAGGGCTCATTCATCTGATCTTAGCAAAACTAATTATCTTTGCATTCTTCACCTATTCAAGCATTCTAGTCGAAGAAATCCGATTTCGTCTATCGTTCAAGAGGATTAGCCAAGCGATTTCTTCTCATCTCTCAACTCTTGAGTAGCCGCTACTTTGATACAATCAGACCAATACTTCAAAGCTTGAGACTGAGTTTGCCTTTTGTCGTCTCCATTCGTTTGTATCTCATTTGAGTTGACTTCTAAGTTGTGAATGGTGAGTTGTTGGGTTGGTTTCAATGTCTCCATTCACCATTCGAGTTTTTGGGTTGGTTTCAAACTTTCAATTTCTTCATTCACCATTCATTTCAAAGTTAGAAAATAGAAATTTTAAAGCCAAAGAAATGTGTTTACTGGCAGACTGGCAGTTAATAAATATTAGCCAAAATGGGTAGGAAAAAGATAGTTGAAAAAGCTCTATTCTACTTTACTTTTCCGATTTGATACTTGTTGACTTGGAATTTTGAAGTCAAATTTCTTGATTTGATGGCTTCTGGCTTAAAAACTTGTGAATCCAAGTTTCAATAAAAGCCATAAAGCTCAATTTTACTGTTATCTTTTCAGATGTGGGTTTGAAGTGTTGGCATAGCTTCAAAGAGCTTAATATTTTTGTTTTTTGGGCTTTGATTCTGAAGTCAGATATATATAGATATTTTTAAATGTTTTGTGTGCATTAACTTGTTCTGATTACTATGGTGCAGGTTGGTGCTCTTCAAGATGTTCGATCTGACTTGACACAGAGTTGCGAGTTCTTTTTTATAAAGTTTTGGAGGATTTGGATGCACATCTTTATAATAAGGGTGAATATAGGTATTCAATCATCTTGGGGATCAAACTTCTAACTATAATATTTGCTTTAAAATCCTAGTTAATTGATTTGAACCTCCTAACTATATGTTATTGAGTTTGAAAGGTAGGGAAAAATATTCACGTGCTGTTAAAATTTTGTAGTATAAATGGCATCAAGTTCTAATCCCACCCTCACTGCCACCCAACCTGAGGTGTCCTCAGAACTGCAGTGGAGGGGCGAGTCGATTGCAATGGATAGTGATATTGAGGACTTAGAGACATGGTCCACCACCCCCAATGAAACTGTTGAAACCATTGCAACAGTTGTAATAAAGAGGGTGACGTTAATCCATGTGCAAGAAAAAGAGAGCTAAGACGTCAGTGGTGTGGAATGATTTTAAGGAAGTTCATTGAACGAAATTTCTTTTATTAAAATATTAATAACTTTTCGTTGTTGTATTCTACATCTCTGTTTACTTGCTAATTGCTAGTGTATATTATGAGATAAATGATGAATGTTTTTCTTTTGTAGGTTCGCTTTTCTCTAAGTTTTTGTTTTGTGGAACAAAGGCATTGGATATGCTGCTTGGTTACAAGTTTTTGATCTTGCTTTGATTGCTTTCATGCTCGTGGAGTCCCTGCTGATATGGTCCATTGTTAATTTTTTGCTTATTGGTCTTTTTTGTATTTAGCTTATTGGATTATCATATCCATATAGCTATCTTTGAAGGGTAGCCCAGAATGAAGGCTCTTGATACATCACATTGCACCAATTACTAAATTCATTTTATGTTTAATGCTATATTTTTCTTCATTACAGTTTTTTGTGCAGGTGATGAAGTCTATGATGCAGAAACAGGACCATCTTAATCTACTTTCTTTATGTTTGTCTGAACTGTGGTTAGGATATTGTTTTCTTCATGGAGGATATGCTGACTTGTGTTCATTTTTGTCTCCATATTAGTGGAGAATGTGTAAATTTATAAGAGATGCCTTTGTTGAATTATTAACATTAGACTAATCTAATGCCTTTGTTGAAACCTCCATTTACTGTTTTGTAAGCTTTAAAATTGAACGTGTTAATTTATATATGCATTGCATTCAGCCTCATATAATTTGATGTTGAATTCTCCCAATTTATGTAATAAGTGGTTTGAAAATGCATTTTGAGCTCTAATTCGAGCTCTATAAGGACTCAACTAATTATTTATGACTAAAAAATTATTTGTCATACTATTAACTTTTGCAAAATTATTTAGTCACTACAATTTTTGACAAATAATATTGCCATATAAACAAACATGTGACAAAATAAATGTTGTTACAGTAAAGTCTGACACATAAATTTTTGTCACTGTAAATTATGAGAAAATAATTTAGTACTATTTACAATTTTGACAAAATCAATTTTGTCATAATATATTATTTCTCACCATAAATCTTATATTTGTCTTTATGTAAATCAATTAGACAAAATTTACTTATATTGATAAAAATACCTCTATTGTTACAAATAATTATCACAATAAATTAGTTTAAAGTGACAAATTATTATCACAATAAATAATTAGCTATTGTGACAAAACGCTCTTTTGTCACTATATACTTAAGAGTAGAGCTTAATGTGACCAATACAATTTCTCACATTAGTGAAATGGTCATAATTTTGATATTTATAGTGCAAATTATTTTATTATGAGAAGCCTAAATTCTTGTTGTGAGTAATAATTAGTTTGATCCCACCATTATGACTATAAAGAGGTTTTACTATATATATACATAAATTAATATATTTAATTTAATAATAACACACATACAAAATCTATATAAAAGTGATAGAACAAAAATAATAAGGTCATAAAAAGTCATACATTAATTAAAGATTAATTATGATTATCATATTATTTTACACACACACCACCACACACACCCACACACACACACACACACACCAACACACACCCACACATTATATATATATATATATAGAGAGGAGAGAGAGAGAGAGAGAGAGATAGGACGAGAGAGAGAGAGAGAGAGAGAGAGAGAGAGAGAGAGAGAGAGAGAGATGCAAGGTCCAATGTTCCGAAAACCAGACCGGGCCTTGATCCGTTCAAGGGTCCGGTTTTCGGTTTGACTGATTGAATCAGTCGGTTGAACCGTATTCTATAAAATTATTTTTACTTCGTAAATGTTTGAAATTCATAAAAAAACAACCCTAAATAAATACGCATGACTCCCTTAAGGTTTGAAATCCATCCAAAACACCCCTGTCATGCGAAGAGACTGGTGAGTGGTGGCGACAATGACGATTGATGGTCAATCGAAGTTTGGGATCATGGGGCTTTTGATGTATAGGTGCCGGCGAATCTTATAGTGGTGTTAGGGAGTTCTACTAGTGCTGGAATTTTTCGGAATCAAGAAGGAAGGTCGACGGTTGCGTGAACAATGGTGGACGACGATCGATGGCTAATCAAAGTTTGGAATGATAGGGCTTTTGATGTAGAGGTGCCGGTGAATCTTATGGTGGTGTCAAGGAGTTCTAATGGCATCGGAATTTGCTGGAATCAAGAAATAAAGTTGACGGTTACGTTAACGATTTGTGGACGGCAAGCGATGAAAGGCTGGATGATGGCCACTGAAAATGGATGGGTTTTGTCGTGAAGATGCTGTCAAGTCTTATGGTGGTGTTATCTCTCTCGAACGATACCAAAATTTAGTGGGATTGAGTCCCAATTGGACTGCGATTTGGCACTATTTTGACTGTCCAACCATGGCTCAATCCGGTTTGATTAAGAATACCAATTTTTAGAGGAAACCGGACTAAAGATGATGCCAGTTCCTAGTCGAACCGGTCTGATCGGTCGGTCCGGTTTGGTTTTCAAAACACTAGCTATGTCTGCAACCCAATTTTACAACTAGCGACGTGGCAGCTCGCAAAAAGGGCGGCTATAGATGGGCATTTTGCCTACCCCGATGGGGATCCACCTTAACCCGACCCAATTAGGGTGGGGATTCCCCAAATTTCATGGGTGATGGGTCAGGGATGGACAGAAAAAACCCCCATGTCTGGGAACGGGATGGGTATGGGGATTAGATTGCCCCGATTGGGACCTGCCCCGCCCCCAATAGTCCCATAAAACTTTGGGCCATGTCATCCTCAACTGCCCCATGAAAACCTTGCCTTATCCCCGACCCGCCTCAAAATTTAATTTTTATATTCTATATAGTATTTTGTAATTTAGTCAATTAATCCTATACAATTTAATTACTTAATAATCTAATCACAAAGTAAGTAATTAAAATTTTATTAAATAATTAATTAATCCCTTAAAGATTTGCAATCTATAAATTTATTGCACTATCACATAAACTAAGGTAATTGAGTTTCTCTTCTAAGTAAATTATCTAAACTTTAGAAACATTTTAGGAGAAATCTATATTAGCAAAATAAATATCAAATTGCACAAATTCTGTTATCTTTCTAATCAATTAATTAGTTAATTAATTAATTATTTATTAACATTGTTTTATTTTACACAAATTTTATTATCATGTCTTTCTAATCAATTAATTAGTCATAAACTTTATTAAAATTGTTTTATTTTTATTCAATGTTTTATTAAGACTTGATGCAATGATGTATGATGTATCAATCTTGATTTTTATTTTTATTAATTAGTCATAAATTACATTGAGAGTTTCTAGTTCTTTAAACATTTTTCATTAAAAAAGTAATTAAATCAAATAATTGATTATGATTTATGAGTTATCTAATATCAATCTTGATATTTGACTTTGATATTCTATATAACATTTTTAAATTTAGTAATTTAATTGAATACAATTTAATTACTTAATAATCTAATCACATTGTAATTAAGTAATTAATTACAATTTTATTAAATAATTAATTAATCCCTTAAAGATTTGCAATTTATAAATTTATTGCACTATTACATAAACTTAGATAATTGAGTTTCTCTTCTAAGTAAATTATCTAAACTTTAGGAATATTTTAGGAGAAATCTACATTAGAAAAATATTATCTTTCTAATCAATTAATTAATTATTTATTTATTAACATTGTTTTATTTTACACAAATTATGCTATCTTTCTAATCAATTAATTAGTTAATTAATTATTTATTTATTAACATTGTTTTATTTTACACAAATTCTGTTATCTTTCTAATCAATTAATAAGCAAACACATTCAAGTCAATTATGTAATGTAAACCAGTAGTTGAACTTATGTTACATTATGGTGCAAAGTTTTTGCTTATGTAAATTGCAAATGTAACATTTTGAACTTATGTTACATTATGTGCAAAGTTTTTGGAAAAGACTAGGAAGTCCAGTTAATATATTAAAAAAAATGACACCAAAAGAAAAAACAGTCAGTCTCAAAAATAAAATATATTCTCAAAAATTAACTAAATATACATTTATTTTCATATCAAAATTTTATTCATATATTTCAATGAGGTTTTATTTTACTGTCTAGAGTTATTACTAAGGAATTATACAAAATCAATATTAAAAAAAGTTAAAAATAATTTATATAAGCCATTTAGGGAAAATTCCCTGTTGAGATTATCTCCGTTGGGGGAAAATCCCCGTGGGGATTAATACCCGACATCCCCCAATCTCCGGGTCGGGGTGGACACAATGTTTTAAAACCCAGCCTGGCTCGACCGGTTGAACCTATTAGAGTAGGTGCCCTAGAGCCAATCAATTATTATAAAATTGACTCTTTGTAATAATGTTTATTAATCAATAAAAGGTAATTTTCTTCTATATCATGTAAATCATACTTGCGTGTATTGATATATGTCCTTAGGATGGTAGAATTATGATGAGGGTATTAAGTGTTTCAAATCTTGATAGTGAGAACCCTATGATTACATATGGTGGCCATTCTAGAAATGTCCGTAGCCCCAATATTATTCTGACCAAAGACATAGATAATTCAATAAGGCTATCATACTGTTGAACGACCCTGTCGAAAGATAGTGACTGATCTTGCTTGTCAATGTTGTTTGCAGACAACTTGGTACGACACATGGGTGCTTGCTATAGGCAAGTTCACTGGACAGACCCACCAGAGGATTTCATATAGATGGTAACCCCAATGTCTATGGAATAAATCCTCTAACGAATGGTGGTGCATGTGGTCCTTAGACTTGAGATCACCAGAGCGCCTTGAACACCGATTGATGTAGTTTGACACTAGCCTAACGTAGTTCTATTCAAAGCTATCAATACAGTAGTGATTGGCTGCATCGAAGAGTGTATCAAGGCTATGGTGGATCGACAAAGGATTCATCACTCTCGAGTACGGGAGAAGTTATCTCACGACACAATTCAGTGAATGACAATGACACTAAAGTTGTGGCCATAGTGGGATTGAATTGTTGCTCAATCCAATTTATTGTTCCCGGTCATTAGTCCAGTAACTAAATACAAAGATATCGAGGATAACTAAGATTGACACTATTTATGTACCTCAGCCTCAATGAGATAATAGATGATGGAAGGATTTGATTGCATGGTAACCATATCGTTGACATGTAGCGATTTCGTTGAATCTGAATCTATCGGGTGGTCATGATACCTTGCTAGGGCCAATCTTGGTCTGCAAGTAGTGAGACGATTAATTGGTGTTAATCGCGATACTACTCATTGCCGATATGATAAGGAGCATACGAGTTACACACTTAGAAGATAATTTAAGAATAGTTTTTTT